TTATCATCCTCAGACTGATGGGCAGTCTGAGCGTACTATTCAGATCCTTGAGGATATGCTTCGGGGTTGTGTTCCTGACTTTAGTGGGTCGTGAGAGAGGCACTTGCCCTTGGTGGAGTTTGCCTACAACAACAGTTTCCAGTCTAGTATCGGTATGGCACCGTTTGAGGCCTTGTATGGCCGACCGTGTAGGTCTCCAGTTTTTTAGGCCGAGGTGGGTGATGCACCTTTGTTGGGCCCGGAGTTGGTGAGGGAAACGACGGAGAAAGTTGAGCTTATCCGTAGGAGGCTTGTTACAGCCCAAAGTCATCAGAAATGTTATGCTGACCATAGGAGAAGACCTTTGGTATTTGAGGTGGGTGATCACGTCTTTCTAAAGATATCACCTAGGCGGGGACTAATGAGATTTGGTAAGAAAGGGAAGTTATCCCCTCGATTTATTGGCCCTTTTGAGATCCTTGAGAGGATTGGCGAGGTTGCCTATCGTTTAGCTTTGCCGCCGTAGTTGTCCGGAGTTCATGACGTGTTTCATGTGAGTATGCTTCAAAAGTATGAGCCAGATCCATCGCATGTGTTGGATTGGACCGACTTAGAGGTAGATGAGGATGCCTCGTATGAGGAAAGGCCGGTTCGGGTCTTGGATAGGCGGGATCAAGCCTTGCGAGGCAAGACCATTCCCGTGGTAAAAGTTTTGTGGAAGCATCACGGAGTGGAGGAAGCCACTTGGGAACATGAGTTGGAAGTCCGCGAGAAATATACGGACATGTTTGTTGATGTATAATCATGTATTGAGATTTTGTAATATTATCAAACTTTAAGAGCATTATATATGTCTTAAGCTGTAAAACATTGAAAATGTTTTGGTTTAATGGAAGAATTTTGAAACTTGCCTCGAAATGGAAGTTTAATGGAACATTGCATATGTTCAATATATTGTAGAAATGGAAATGTATCATGAACATTGAATATGATATAGAATTGTGAATCATATATAGTGAAAATTGTTGAATTGGAAAGAAAATGCATAATGATAATGCAGGTTGAAATATATGTTGTTTTACATATTGTGAAATGCCTCTTGATAAGAGATGGAATGACCGGTAATGGGTCAAGTGGTTGATTATTGAAATGTCATATTGTTGGAAATTGTCAAAAACCTGTTTTTGAAAATTTGTGCTTAATTTCGGGGACGAAATTCTTTAAGGGGGGGAGGTTATAGCGATCCCGGGTTTCACCCCTTGTTGTATAGTGATCCGGACTTGGTTCTGTGGATGTTAGCAGTTGTTTATGCCTTGTTTCCGTCCTTCAATACTTGTTATTTGAGTTATAGGATGTGATAGGCTGGTCTGTTACAGGTTGGTTATGTTTGGAAGCAAATGGTTGCTGCCCAGAATTTTGGTCCTTCGCTCGAGCGAGCAGTTCGTCGATCGAGCGAGCTCTGTGTTTTAGATCCTTCACTCGAGCCAGGGTTCCTTCGCTCAAGCGAGAGTTGAGTTTTGTGTCTGGTGGCTCGAGCGAGAAGTCTTGCGCTCGAGCGTGCGTCTGCGCCTCATTTTGACCTGAGAGCTGTGTTTCTTGGCTCAAGCGAGCTTTCCTTCGCTCGAGCGAGCAAGGTGTATATTTTGGGTTCCTTCGCTCGAGCGAGCATTCTTGCGCTCGAGCGTGCTTCTGGGTTGCAGACCTAAAGCTTCAAATTGTTGGCTCGAGCGAGGCTTTCTATGCTCGAGCGAGAGTTCTTTGTGTCTAGTCGCTCGAACGACCAATCCTTCACTCGAGCGAGCCTGTGTTATATCAGTAGGCAGCAGCGGGATTGAACATCACTTTTTCATCTCCTTTCTTTTGCAAACCCCAGATCCGACTCTCTCTCTCTCTCTCTCTCTCTAGGGATTGATCTACCTATAGTGAGTTTCTACCCTAAGTTCGTTGTATAAAAGATAGAGGGTGTTGAGGGCTTCGTTCTAATCTGAAAATTTGTGGATTTGGAGCGCTTTGGTTTTTGGCCTTCATCTCCGTTTGGGCTCTAACTTCGAGTTAGGGATACCCTACTCCTTCTTACGAGCTTTGTCTTTAAGTTTTGGCATTTTGATATGTTGGGAGTTGTGTAATTTCGGGAAAAGTTTGGGTCTTTGTGTAATTTACAAAAGATGGGGGTTTTGTATATAATAACCCATATTCATGTATGACATAGAGAAATGAGGTTAGTATTGGACTATTGAGGAAAATGGGACCTTTGGGCTGATATGTGAGTTATGGGAAAATGCCCTAATTAGTTTATAAATTAATTTGTATAATTAATTTTGAGAAATGAGAAATTGAATTGAGAATATTCAAATTGGAAAGGTATGAAATTAAATGGTGTAGTTGGAATTAATTTATCGCTCACCTAGTTGAAATGTGGATAGTATATCCTTTTGACGCATTTATTTTCTGTTTAGAAATAACTGCTTTGGGCTATCGGTGGAGGATAGTCTTGATTGTTGTAGACAATGCATGAGGATTAGGTGAACAAATTGAATGTGTCATCGAATATGACGGTTGGAATAATACATTAACCTTATATATTGATTGATTATGTATATGATTTGTGTTTATATACATTGTGTTGTGTGGGAGGAGATAAGGGATGTACTCTACGCCTCATTTTGACCTGAGAGCTGTGTTTCTTGGCTCAAGCGAGCTTTCCTTCGCTCGAGCGAGCAAGGTGTATGTTTTGGGTTCCTTCGCTCGAGCGAGCATTCTTGCGCTCGAGCGTGCTTCTGGGTTGCAGACCTAAAGCTTCAAATTGTTGGCTCGAGCGAGGCTTTCTATGCTCGAGCGAGAGTTCTTTGTGTCTAGTCGCTCGAGCAACCAATCCTTCGATCGAGCGAGCCTGTGTTATATCAGTAGACAACAGTGGGTAAATACTTCACTTTTTCATCTCTTTTGGTTTCAAAACCCTAGATCCGAGCTCTCTCTCTCTCTACACACCTTCTTTCTAGGGTTTCATCTATTTTTAGTGTGTTTCTACCCTAAGTTCTTTGTAAGAAAGATAGAGGGTTGTTTGGGCTACGTTTTAATCTGAAAATTTGTGGATTTAGAGCACTTTGGATTTTCACCATATTCTCCTTTGGTCTCTTCATTTCGAGGTAGGGATACCCTACTCCATCTTATGAGTTTTGTCATAAATTTTGGGCATTTTGATATGTTGGGGTTGTTGGGTAATTTTTGGAAAAGTTAGGGTTTGATTTGTAATTTATAGAAAATGGGGTTTTCAAAATGTTAAATCCTATGGGTGTTTGAGACCAACAAAATGGAATTAATGTTGGTGTATTGTTGAATTTGAGCCTTTGGGTTGAGATGTGATAAAAGGGGAAAAATGCCCTAATTATTGAAATAAATTAATTAGTATAATTAATTTGGGAAAATATGAAATTGAGTTGGAAATCCATGAAATTGGGAAATTACGAAAATGAATGGTGTAGTTGGAAATAACTGCTTTGGGCTATCGGTGGAGGATAGTCTTGATTGTTGTAGACAATGCATGAGGATTAGGTGAACAAATTGAATGTGTCATCGAATATGACGGTTGGAATAATACATTAACCTTATATATTGATTGATTATGTATATGATTTGTGTTTATATACATTGTGTTGTGTGGGAGGAGATAAGGGATGTACTCTACGGTTTAGGGGAAGATGGGGGATGGACCTCTAAACCAGATTTGTTGACATTGATACAACACTAAAATGTGTATCATTTGTGAAATGTGGAAGTGTTTTTACATGTTTTGATACAGCACTAAAATGTGTATCATTTGTGAAGTATGGAAGTGTTTTTGTTTGAGGTTGATACAGCACCAAAATGTGTATCTGTTATGAAGTATGAAAAGATTATTATGAGTTAATATCTCACTTGAATTGAAAGTATTGTGAATAAGAGATGTAATCTCGGTCGAGTTATCTGGCCAGGTTCTGAGCCACGTATATGAAATGAATTGTTAAGTAAAGGAAAATGAAATGTAACATGGACATGATTGTCATGGAACTGAAATGTGATATGAATGGATGTATAAGTGTTGACCATCTATCAACTGCTAATCTTTTAGTCATTGTTTATAGCTGGTTTAGTATATTTCTACTGGACTGTGGCGCACCCTATATGGGACATCATTTTCAAGTACAGATGGTATGCCACCTCCAAGGACATAGCTTGAGAGGCTAGAGGCAGACAAACTTTTTGGTTGTTTTGCTTTATTTTTGATGTATTAAATGTAAATTCAAGCCAAGGGTTTAATATGTATTTGAGTTAGCACTCACTTCTTGTATCCAAGTGCTGGCTTGGAAAGTTGTAAGCCCATAGGGCATTTATTTTTGATGTCAACATGTGATACTTTTGTAAAGAACTACTCAGATGAATAGAAAGATGTTATTTCACTTATATAAATGCATGTCTTGAATAATGGGTTTTATGTATTTTTGAGGGCGTTACAGTTGGTGGAGGGTAAGGGTAATGGGTTCATGAGAAGCATTAGTGAGAATGGGCTTGATGACCCAGGGATAGCATTGGAAGTGGATTTGGTTAAAACCCAGTGTGATGGGCCGAGATTTGGGCTCATGGACAACAATTGTAACTCAGATAATGAGGTGTCAAAGGCCCAGGATGTTGGGTCATCATCACTTTATGTTGAGGCTTCATCTGTTAGTGGCAACACAGATGGAAAAAAGAGGGAGTCAAAACAGAGGAAAAAGTTAGTAAGGAGGAATGCTAATAGAATCTTGGCGGACAAGCAGGGGAGAGCAAGGGGAGGAAGAAATGAAAGGAAATGAGGTATAGTGGTTATGGGAACCTGGAGCTGAGGTGTTGTCTTAAGAGTTAAAGCTGGGTTAAAAGCAAGATCGGATGCACATGGGAAAGTCACAAGTAAAGAAAATTTCGGGGCAAGATCAAAATTGGAGTTGATTGGGAGAAATTTTCGTAGAGAGTTTACACCATAGGAGTAGGCAGAAGCAACAATATGTATGGGCAAAGCCTTAGGCATATGCTTTGGTGGGATGGAAGGAGAGGTGAAGGAAAAATTAAAAGCTATGGAGATCAAGGATAAAATTCAGGCAGATTCAAGAGCTGTAGATGCACAGTTGGGAGTTGAAGTGCAAAATTGATTGAATGTATCAGGTGGTTACAGGTGTTAGATAATGTGTCTCTATGAAGCTTTTATCATGGAATGTAAGGGGTTTGGGTAAAGCTGAAAAGAGAAGGAGGGTCAAATTACTGCTTAAAGATAGGAAAATTGATTTTGGTTTTTTCCAAGAGACAAAGAAAACTGAGGTTACACCAGATTTTGTAATATCACTTTGGCCTGTGGATGAAATGGAATTCATGGTGGTTGACTTTGAAGGGAGGGCAGGTGGGCTTCTGTGCATTTGGAAACCAACTGTTTTCAAGCTATCCTAGTGTTGTAGTACAAGGCATTGCATTGTACTCTTAGGTACTCTCCTTCCAGATTTTAACTGTGTCCTTGTCAATGTTCATGCTCCAAATGAAGTTAATGAGATAAGTAGATTCTGGAATGTGTTGTATGGGTTGAGATCTAGCTTTTGTTATTTCTGGTGTCTAGCTGGTGATTTCAATGAGATACAAAATCTTGGAGAAAGAAGGGGATGTTCTAGAAGAGACAGAGGGATGAAAGACTTTAATTTATTTATAGAACATATGGAGCTTCTTGATTTACCCATGTTGGGAAGACAGTTCACATGGTGCAATTCTAATGAAGGAGAAAGATGGAGTAGAATTGACAAAGTACTCATGTCAACGGAGTGGGTAGAAAGGTTGAAGTTAAAGTTATGGGGTTTAGAGAGAAGTGTCTCAGATCATTGCCCCTTGTTACTAGTTAAGGATGGCAGGGATTGGGGTCCAAGGCCATTTCGCTTCATAAACGCTTGGACTCTACATCCGAAATTTGGAGAAGTTGTGAAGAAATCCTGGGATAATTCTGCAATTACTAGCTGGGCAGGTTTTGTTATTATGAATAAGCTGAAGGTTCTACGTTCAGTTTTAAAAAAATAGAGTATGGAGGTCTTTGGCAATGTTACTCATTCATTGAAAGCAGCGGAGAAGGAGCTCCATGCCATTGATCTATTGGCTGAATCTAGAAGTCTTGTGGAGAATGAAGTTAAAAGAAGAAGAGAAGTTCGAAAAGAAGTATGGTGATTAAGTAGGAGAGAAGAATGGTTGTGGAGGTCGAAGTCTAGAGTTAATTGGAGTTTAAAATGAGATAAGAATACAAGATTCTTTCATGTCATAGCTACAAGCAGGCAAAATAGAAACCTGCTGAATTCAATTGAAGTAGATGGGGAGATTCATGAGGATTCACAAAAGGTCAAGCTTGATGTTGCTCAACACTTTAGAAACAGGTTCTCTGAAGAGTGGAAATTTTGACCTAAGCTCCAAGGTGTCTCCAAGTCCATTGGTCAAGATAATGATTCTAATGGGCTGGTCACTCCTTTTTCAGAGAAGGCGATTTGGAGAGCTGTTAGAGAGAGTGATGGAAATAAGGCACCAAGACCTGATGGTTTCAACCTGTCTTGCTTTCAAAAGTGTTGGAAAGTGTTTAACAATGATATATTGCAATTCTTTAAGGAATTCTATGATAATGGATGCTTAGCAAAAGGCATCAATAGTTCTTTCATCACACTGATACCTAAGAATGGGAATCTAGGTGGGATTTCAGATTATAGACCAATTAGCCTTATTGGATCTCTGTACAAAATTCTGTCTAAGGTTCTAGCTTCTAGACTTAAGAAGGTATTGCCTAAAATAATTCGAGAATCTCAGGCCGCTTTTATTGGGGGGGAGGAACATTTTAGATGGGATTTTAGTATCCAATGAAGTAGTGGATTGGTGGAAGAAGAAAAAAAGAAGGGGGTAATTTTGAACCTGGATTTTGAAAAAGCATATGATACCGTAAATTGGGAGTATCTCTTTGATATGATGTCAAGCTTTGGCTTCCAAGATAAGTGGATTAGGTGGATGAATGCGTGTATTCAATCAGCTAGAGTTTCAATTCTTGTTAATGGTTCCCCGACTAATGAATTCTGCCCAGAAAAAGGACTCAGACAAGGGGATCCGTTGTCTCCCCTTCTTTTTAATATAGTGGCTGAGGGTTTGAAGATATTATTTCAAAGAGCTAAAGCATTAGAGTTAATCAAAGGTGCTGCGATTGGCCTAAGGGAGGTTAATGTCACTCATTTGCAATTTGCAGATGATACAACTGTGTTTTGTGACGCGGAAGAGAATGATATTTTGAATATAGAGAGAATCTTAAGGTGTTTTGTAGTGCTTTTTCGATTGAAGAGCAATTTTTATAAAAGTTCAGTTTGTGGACTAGGTGTACAAGAGGCTGATGTAAATGTGTTCGCAGGAAAATTGAATTGTATGATCCATAAGTTACCTTTCATGTATCTTGGTTTACCTTTGGATGCCAGCCTGAAGAGGAAAAGCACATGGTTGCTGGTAATCAATAAGTTCAAGTCTAGGTTGGCGTCTTGGAAAAGGAAATTACTATCATTTGGAGGTAGGTTAACACTAATCAAAGCTGTGCTATCTTCTTTTCCAGTGTATTACCTCTCTTTGTTTAAGTTGCCTGCAAGTGTATCAAAGTTGCTAGACAAAATTCAGGCCAGGTTTTTGTGGGGAGGTTCAGAACTCAAAAAGAAGCTCCATCTGGTAAAATGGGAGGAGATTACCAAATCAAAGCACTACAGAGGTTTGGGGATTAAGAAATTGAAAGAAGTCAATGATTGTTTACTAGCCAAATGGTAGTGGAGATTTGGTGGGGAGGACCGTGTGTTGTGGAAAGACATCTTGATTAGCAAATATAACAGCTCTGGAGGAAGGTGGAGACCAATTTATGGTAGCAGTGCTCAGTGTTCAAGAGTCTGGAGCGATATTCTCAGATTGGAACACAGCAATCCTCACCTATTTTGTTTCTTTATGGATAACTTTGTCATTCAAGTAGGGAATAGAATGAGAGTTAGCTTTTGGGAGGATAGTTGGGCTTTCAACAAATGCTTGAAGGAGGATTTTCCTAGATTATTTGAGTTATCAGTAGAAAAAGAGGCAACTCTTAAGCAGATGATGGATAAAAGAAGTGACTTATTTGAATGGAAGCTGAGTTTCAGAAGGATTCTGAGAGTTTGGGAGGAGGATGAGTTGGTAAGATTACAGTCCTTTTTGCTTTCACATGACCCATCTTTATCAGAAAAAGCTGATTCATTGGCTTGGAAGGCTTCATCTTTAGGTTTGTTCACAGTTAATTCAATTTATAATAGGAGTTGTGTGGGGTAGAGCTTGGGGACATCAAGGCTGCTTTGGAATAATATTTCTCCGCTAAAAGTTCAGTTTTTTGGCTGGCTCACTTGGAAGGGTAGAATCAAATCAAGAGCTTTCCTCCAAAGAATGGGGTGTCTTAGTAATGAGGCTCGATCAAATTGTGTTTTTTGCAGCTATGAGGTGGAATCAGGGTGTCATGTTCTGGTGCAGTGCACTTTTGTTTGGAGGATATGGTCAAATTTGTTGAATTGGTGGGGTTTGATTTGGGTGATGCCTGAAAAGGCGAAAGGGGTATTGGATTGGTGGAGAGGGTACAAATCGAGAAAAATTGAACAGAAAATCTGGGAGGCAATTCCTTTGGCAGTCCTGTGGTCTATTTGGAAGCTACGTAATGAGTGTATTTTTAATGAAAAACAACCTATATTGGACGAGGTTTGTGAGCTGATTAAAACTAGAGTTACATTATGGGTTATAACATCCTCTAGTGAGTTCCAATATTCAGTGCATGATGTGGTGGCCAATTTGGATCAAGTAAGACATGCATTACATTGAGCCTAATTTGGCTGTTGCTGTTAGGGTTGCTGATGTATAGTGATGCTCTTGGTGTGTTATTGCTGCTATGGTTACTGCTGGGTGGAGTTCATAGCCAAATGGGGGTTTTATTGTCTTCATTAGTGAGCAAATTGGGGCTGCTGCTGTTATGGTTGCTGCTGGGGGGAGTTCACAGTTAATTAGGGGTTTATATTGTCTGCATTGGTGAGCAAATTGGGGTTAAGTCATATAAAGAAATTGTAGATACCCATTACTCTTATCTAATATCTGCATAGAGTTCCAATCAGGTGTTCTGGGTTGCTTCTGCTGCTGTGTTCTGCAGGTATAGAGGGGCTGCTGTTGGTGTTCTGTTTTGGGATAAGGCTATGGTTGCTGCTCTGATGTTTTGCTGGATGGAGTTCATAGCTTAATGGGAGTTTATATTGTTTTTCATTGTTGAGCAAATTGGGGTAAAGTCATACCAAAATTTGAAGATGCTCATTACTTTTACCTTCTATCTGCTGAGAGTCCAAACAGGTGGGCTGCTCCTGCTGCTGTGTTCTATTGGTGTATATGGGTTGCTGATGGTGTTCTGTTTTGGGTTGAGGATTGGGTTTTGGGCTGCCCCTGCTGCTGGTCTGTTGCTCTGCTGCTCTGAGGCCTGCTGATGTATGTTGTTGGTTGGCATGCAGCTGTAGGACGCTGGTCTGGTCTGTGTAGATATTAGGAGGGGAGTTGTAATGCTATTGCTGCTGGGGTCTTGGTAGTTGGTATGCTGCTGTAGGAGGTTGCTCTGGTCATTGCAAATATAAGGAGGAGGGGTGTAATGCTATTGTTGTTGGTGTCTTGATTGGGGTTGATTGTTGTTGGTCTAGTAGACTGTTGTTCTGCTGCTGCTGCATTGGTTGCTTGATTGTATTTGATTGTTGTTGATGCATTGGTTGTTGTTGCTCTAATTGGTTGCATAGTTGTTCTGTTTTTCTCTTTTACTTGCTTTGGTTGCTTCTGATTGGTTTCTCACCAATCTTGGTGCTAGTGCTAGCATATGATTGTGCTTTCTTTGCAGTGCCAACCTAGTAGGGATTGTTAAGGTTAGCTTTGATGCTTAGTGCACTTCCCCGCTTTGTTGATGTAAATTATGCATGTATTGTGTTCTTTTTATCAATAAAGCTTTTTTGCTGATCAAACAAAAAAAAAAAAGGCTATCGATATCCAATCAACGTTATTTATTGCAAGAATAAATTACTCAACAAGTACTACACATTGAATAGTTCGAACTATCAATGTGGGTTTTATAGTGGGCCCACATAGCCCAACAGCGCGCTCAATCCGATCGAGCTAAAGAAAAGTTATTCCCTATTTTATACTCTTTTTGTGCACAAGTTATAAATTGATTAATTTTTTTTTTAGTAATTTAAAAGGTTATGTCAACAAATTTTTCACTCTCTATGATTTAAAATTTTCAAAATTAATTTTTGAGTTTTTAATTTGAGTTTGACTTAATATATATACACTTAAAAAATATATAATTTGTACAAAAAAAATTAAAAATCATTGAATATAACAAAATACTAAAATGTATTAATTTTTTGTATTATTTTGTGTGCAGTAAATTTTTCACTGGATTATGAAAAAGGAACAAAATAATAGTGTTTTTTTTTTAGATAGTTGGCATAATAGTGTTAGACTCACAAAAATTATACACATATAAGTGTTGGATAAAATTTATGTTAAGTCTAACTTACATCACACTCAAAATGAATTTTAACTACCCAAGATATTTTCTTTATATGTTTTATATTCTATTTATTTATTTTTATTTTTATTTTGCAGTTAACATTATCAAAAAATAATAATAAATAAATATTAACTTTATTTCTAAAGAATTAGAGATCCATAAATAATCACCAAGTTTGTTTGGGAATATTTTAGTTGACCATTTGATTTTTTACGAAAATATATGTAAAAAAATAAAAAATAAAAAATAGAGAAAGTAATGTAATGGGATGTTTTGTTTTGTTTTATTAACTATTTTAGCTTTGAATAGACAACCCATCCCCAAACCAACCCATATTTTAACTTATTTCTACCTTTCAGTGATTGTGCCAGCAAAATAAACTACAATTCCAACATTGTAAACTAAGCACAAAATCACTATATAAAACGGAAACTCACATTAATACAAGATTATCCGAGAAAACAATCTAAATAAGAACCCATGTTTTGTTTATAAATCAATTCATATGCCATGTGCAACTCGCGGACACCCCAACTAATATATATATATATATATATTTTTGATCGGCAAAAAAAAAAAACCTTTGTTGATGAAACAAGAACACATTACATCAAGAAAAGAAAAGGGATGGGTGTAAAAAGTATCATAGCAAGACATACCAATCCCAACTAGGTTGGCACTAGTATGCCCGCCCAATCCCTTACTAGCACACCATCCAGAGTTGGCAAGAAGCCAACCAAAGACAAGGAAAAACAACAAGCAGGAACAAAAACAGCACGCAGCAGCAGCTAACCTCTGATTTCAAAGACCAAGACAAACAAAAATGAATTATATCAAAACAACACCAAAGCCATCACAACAGCACAGCACCAAGCAATAGCCCAATACCAAGACTAGCACTGCAGCAGCAACCATTAGCAGCATCCAAAGCAACAACCATTAGTAGATAACAAAACCATTCTCAACCAGAATTTTCCAATCTGATCTGATCCACTCAACTGCCACAACACATAATGATGATTATAAACCAATTAGCAGTAGCATCAATACACCACTGCAGCAGCAGCATCCCCCAAGAGCTTCATCTAGCACAAACCTCTGCAGCAGCCTCACCCTACTGCCCTTAACTCCAACCCGCAAAATCTTCCAATTAGACAAAACATTCTTCTGTTCCACACAGATAACCCAAAATCTTCCAAGAGCTCCATCCAGCACAAAATCTTCCATACAGATAGCTAACTGGTGGTGCTAAAGAAAACAACTAAATATAGCTTCTGATGATGGACACCAAACTTAGACTGTAGCATTCAGCCACCATAACTTATACAATATATATATATATATGTATGTATGTATGTATGTGTCAACAATCAGAGACTTTTGGTAATCTTTATTTACGTAGAAGCCAATAGAACCATAAGCATAGACTTTACATCACTACTGATACAGATCTGGGTGCCCTGCGCTCTTGAACTAAAACCTGCACTTCCCACACAATTCAAACTTGTAAACAAATACATGAGGAAATATCATTTTGTCCCTTAAACTTTCATTCATTTTTTAATTTGATCTTTAAATTTCGATTAATATCAATTTTACATCCAAACTTTTGAAATTTTAATCAATTTAGCCCTTACTGTCACATTCCGTCAACAATTGGATGGAATGTGATGACATGGCACCAAAATTCATTAGAAATTTCATTTTACCCCCTAAACTATACTTTAAAAATCAATTTGTCCCCCAAATTATACCTTAAAAATCAATTTACCTCCTATGTCAGCACATTCCGTTCAATTGTAAACAGAATGTGAAGGCAGGAGCCAAATTGATCAAAATTTTGAAAGTTTAGGTATAAAATTGATATTAATCGAAGTTTAGGGATCAAATTGAAAAACATGTGAAAGTTTGGAAGGCGAAATGATATTTTCTCCAAATACATTAAAGAAAGCATAACATCAATAAACAATAGTACGAGGCAGAATTATCATATAGCGGACGAATATATATATCTAATCAAAAAATTTAGAAATAAAATACAAACTATAATATCAATTTCTACTAATGTGATCAAGTAATTAACTGATATCTGATTTTATTCTTTACAGATTATAGCTTATAATCAACACTAATTATAAGAAAAAAAACAAATTTCTTTTATTATATCTTGTCTTTTTTTAATTAATTTTATATTTTGATTACATGTTTCATAGATATAGAGTGATAGTCAATTAAACTTTCTTTTAAAATCTAGAGAAGATGATTCTTAAAATTTGTAAAAGAAGAAAAATTTAGGAGCAAGTGTCAATAATTTGTAAATAATTATAAATAATATTATTATAATAAATGATGTTTTTGAAAACGTACCCCCCTTTAGATCCATTAAATATGGCCTTCACGAATCGAAAAGTAACATTGTCCATGATGTTGGTAATCAAGAAAAATGGTAGGGGAAAGCAGCCGATAACACAAACTGAAATAGCAAGGCCAGATGAATATGCTAAGACAACATATCACTACAAGAAATGTCACTTTTGGCTACCAAAATATTGGTCGCCAAAAGTCCAATAATTGGTCGCTGAAATGATTTAGTGACTAAAATATTTTGTCGCCAATCTCGTCGCCTTTACCCTGTCGGCGATAGTATTGGCTACTAAACTTTGTTTGGTCGCCGAAAGTGACTACATTTAGCTACTAAATTTAGTTTAGTCGCCAAATGAGTACTTTTGGCTACTAAGTTGGTTTGGTCGGGGAAAGTGTCACTTTTAGCTACTAAATAATTGGTCGCCGAAAGTACTCATTTGGCTACGAAACATTATTTAGTCGGCAAAAGGTGATTTCGGTGACTAAAGTGTTAGTCACTAAAAGTGCTACCATAAAATGAGAATGACTATTATAGACCAAACATTTTGGGCACCAATAGAATACATATTTTTAGCGACTAACTAATTTTGGTCGTTGTTTCTTTTGCCCACTAAAAGTTTCGTAGCCAAATGCCTCTTAACATTCACTTCTTCACTTTTTTCCACCAAATGTTTTAGTCGCCAAATGATACCATTTTTTTTTCCGTGACTAAAAAATTTAGTGGCCAATAGTTTCTTTCTCTCATTCTCAATTGTTTAGCGACTAATTATTTGGTCGCAAAAACTTTTTGGGTTATGTTTTTTCTACTAAATTATTAGTCACCAAAACATTTAATTCCGTCTTTGGCTACCAAAATATTTGGTGGCCAAATATTTTAACGTGTTTTTTTTTTTTTTTAAAAAAAAGAAATTTCTAAACAACCTGTATCCATTATGAATACAGCCTGTACCCTATATAAACAATATAATCTATCAACACTAAATATGTTATCAAGCATTCAACAATGTGCACACATTTCATTTTCAACCATCCAAATAATTAATATTAAACGTCCAATTATATATATATATATATAACAAATTCCATAAGAACCAAGTATAATCCAACGTCAATAATTTAATTCCATACATAATACAGGAATAACCAAATTAATTTTACACCTAGAACTTCTGTACCACAACAAAAATTATATTTTGTACTGCCCCAAAACTATTTTGTACCACGTGCTATGTTAATTTCTACCATGCCAACGTAGCTGATATTTACCACACCAAAAAAATAATTTGTACAAACCACTATACATACGGATAGAGATATAAAAACAATGCCCTCCCGTACTAGTCAAAAAAAACATATCCACATTTGTATGTCCAAAAACATCTGCAAAAAAACAAATTTTAATCATTAGTTTGGTGCGTATAGAGGCACTTCTGGATGACATATATATGTTGTAATAATTTCAAACATTAAAAGACAAGGAGAGTAATAGCTATTAACTAATGAAAGACATTCAAACATGGACCCATCATGAGTTCTTGTTTTAGTTTTTTATCTCTAAATCTATCTAAGTAAATTTTAATACTTAAATGTAAAAGTAAATTGTGTACGTATTACCAAATTACAGAAATTATGGGTGTACTTACCATTTCATCCAAAAATTAGCGTAAATTCTTCTACAAAAGCATTGTAGGTAAATGATGAGACCCTAAATGTCTATTGAGTTTATAACAAATTTACTATCATCCAAAGAATTCTAAGTAGCATTTTTCATATCACTATGCTGAATTAAAATCAATCCCAAAAATAAGGAAGATCCACCAGATATTGAAAAGCCATCATGACACTTCATACTACTATAAAAAAAATTGCAGCTTGTTTTTTTAACCTTCAATAACAGTAACAAAGTACCTAAAAATCAACAAATGCAACCGGAGTTCCATATGTGCTCTGCATCTTCAATTTTATAAATCCATCGCAACTGGGAAAGGACAAAAAGAAATAGAAAATTAAATTCCACAAGCTTCACATATTAGGAAAATACATGATAAAAATAATTACTCCAAACCTTGAAAAGACTTGAATTAGCTCTTGCTTCCGCAAAGAATTAGTTTCGCAGAGTTCTCATAGCTAAAATGAGGCACTTGCTTTCGCAAAGAATTAGTTTCATAGCTAAAGATCTCATGTTGACATATTTAACAGATGGCTTGACAACCAACGACCACAGAACGAGTCCACAGAGTTCTTTAGAGTATTTGAGGGTAACTAGACCACTGTAATAGGAATAAAGCGGAGTCATAACATTAATTGATAACATAATCATTTTAGAAATTTGGTTAAAAATCCCTCCACCTAGTTTTCTAATGGGATAACACCTGCTAGTGCCCAAGCGTGCAGAACATGTGCAATGTGAGCTTTTTAGAATAACGTGTTCACCATGTGACTAACTACTAGTATTCAAAGCAACAGATCAGACAAACACCCACAACAATGTCAAGAAATTAAGGAAATGGTGAGAAGTAGGCTACGAGGATGCAAAATAGAGATCAAAACCTCATCCGTATTAAATAATCCACAGAGGGGGTAAAACTAAAAGAAAAAATGTTTAGATAAAGAGCTCCTTATGGAACTCTGAACAGTTCAGGGCAACCACCATACCAGGATCATGAATGCCCCTTGAAAATGCAACAGCTCCTTTACTTCTCTTCTCCGAGCTAGGTTTTTCATCATCTAATCAACAAGTTCACACAATTAAGGCCACCAACAGTTAACGAAAAGTAGAAATATAGGTAGCTATAGCGATCCCGGGTTTACCCTTGTTGTACAGTGATCCGGACATGTGTCCGTGGATGTTGGTAGTTGAATATTATCTTGTTTGCATCCTTTTTACTTCGTGTTTGAGTTATAGGATGTGTTGGGCAGGTTTGTTACAGGTTGGTTGAGTTTAGAAACGCCCAGATTTTGACCTGTCCGGTCGAGCGGGGGTTTTGGCGCTCGAGCGGGAGTTTCACCCATCTAGTATTTCCTGTGCAGTGTTGGACGCTCGAGCGTGGGATTGGCCGCTCGAGCGTGATTGTGTGAGTGCCGCTCGAGTGGGGAGTTGGAAGCTCGACGGAGAGCTGGTTCTGTAAAAGTTCTGGGAGTGTGTATCCACCGCTCGAGCGGGATTGTTGATGCTCGAGCGGGAGTCTGTGAGTGACGCTCGAGCGGGGCGACTAGGTTTAAGTTCCGAGTTTTGACTTTTCAAATCACTTTTTTACTTTCTCTTCTCTCTCCTACTTTCCAAAAACACCATTGTTGAGCCTCTCACTCTAGAACTCTACCTTCTCTCTAGGTTTTGATCTAGTAGGAGTGATTTGCTCATCTTTGGCCTTTACAAAAAAGTTGTTGATCGTCGAGGGCTACGTTTTAATCTGAAAATTTCGGGATTTGGAGCACGTTGGGTTTTGTAATCTTCTCCCTTGGAGCTCCGAATTTGAGGTAGGGATATCCTACTCCTCTCTATGGATTTTGTCTTTAAATTTTAGTATTTTGAGATGTTGGGGTTGGTTTGGTAATTTTGTGAAGGTTTGGGGCTTTTGTGTTATTTTTAAAAAAGTTGGGGTTTTATTTATAATAAACCTAGATGTATGTTTGGCATAGAGAAACAGAAATAAATGTTGAATCATTGATGAAAATGGGACCTAAGGGTTAGAATGTTAATTATGGAAATTGACCTAATTGCATTGATTGATTAATTTGTATAACAAATTGTTGGGAATGAGGAATTGAATTGAGAATGTGGAAAGTGAAAAGGAAAGGGGTTAAAGGGTGTAGTTGGATTATTTATCACTCACCTAGTTGAAATGTTGATTATATATCCATTGTTGCATTTATTTTCTGTATAGAAATAACTGCTTTGGGCTATCGGTGGAGGATAGTCGTGATTGTTATAGACAATGCATGATGATTAGGCAAACGGAAACTAATCAATGGAATGTGTCATGGAATTTGACGGTTGATAGAATACATTAACTGTATGTATTGAGTGATTGTATATAGAACCAATGTGTTTGTATACGTTATGTGTAGAGGAGGAGATAGGGGATGTACTCCGCGGTTTAGGGGAAGATGGGGGATGCAACTCGCGACCAACATATTTTGGTCGCGAAAAGGTTTTAGCGACCAAATATGGTACTTTTCGCGACCAAACATGTTCGTCACGGAAAGTGTTTTTTCTAATGGACTCCGTAGATAGAGCTCATATGCTTATCTATTAATGTGTTGACAGAGCTCATATGCTTGTCATTGGAAGTGTGATAGTGCTCATATGCATATCTGTGGAAGTGAAGATATAGCTTGTATGCTTATCTGTTGTTGTGTGATATAGCTAGTATGCTTATCTAATAAGAAATGGGAAGTGTTTGATATGAGTTATTGTCTCATATGAGTTGCTTGGCCAGGTTCTGAGCCATGGTTGTAATTTGAGAATAGAAAGGAATTGGAAAATGAGTTGTAATATGGACTTGTATGTCATGAAAATGTAAAGTGTGATGAGGGAAAGTATCAGTGTTGACCATCTATCAACTGCTAATCTTTTAGTCATTATTCATATTTGGTTTAGTATGTTTCTACTGGGCTGTGGCTCACCCTATATGGGAATATCATTTTCAGGTACAGGTAGCATGCCACCTCCAAGGACATAGCTTGGGAGGCTAGAGGCGGACACACTTTGTCGTTTTATTTTTGATATATTACATGTAAATTCTAGCCAAGGGCTTAATGTGTAAATGAGTTAGTACTCTTTTGTTGTAACCAAGTGTTAACTTGGAAAGCTGTAAGCCTTTAGGGCATTTGCTTTTGTCATTAACATGTAATACTTTTTGTAATGAAATTCTAATAAATGGAAGAATGTGGAACTTTTACATATCAATGCATGTCTTTATTGATGGGTTTAATGTTGTTATTTTGAGGGCGTTACAGTAGCAGGAAGGTTGAATAAAAAAGTTCCGGTGCGCTTAGATCTCGAGTTAGATTTTGGTAGATCAATGTATAAGGTGGATCCCTTCTCCAGGTCAAACACCATTCCCTGCAGAAAAGCATTTATGACCATAATATTTAAGTATGCCTTTTCCACACAACGTAAAAGGTTCTACAAATGTGAGCACCATAAAATCTCTACATCAGACCAATTTTTATTTTCCATACATACAAACTCAGGGCAATCCATCGAAAGCTCTCTCATATTCCACGGGTGGAGGACCAGCTAATATCAAAGATGCTTTTCTCCCTAGGACCTAAGGCAACTGTCACAATTCTTTGAAGCATATATACAAATAGATAATGAGCTTATATGCTTTGCACACATATGAAGCTAAAGAACCAACACAATTGCCTTAACAACTAAACTTAACACTACCCACAATAGATGTAAGGTTCATACATGCAAGTTGAACATTGTCGGCATTTCACCTTATTATGCAACTGGAACAATTCATTGAAGCATATAAACAAATTTATTCTATTATTTGGATTTTCACATCATCTTTGACCTCAATTACTCATCATCTGTTTTCTTGAACAAAGAATCTATCGACCATCATATCATCTTTGATCTTACTCACTCATAAACAATCTACTATTTAGTTCCTTATTTTATTTTTTATTCAAATTCTAAACGGTGGGAAGTTAATTGTTGTAATTAGAATATGTGGTTAAAGTGAAAGTTGGTGGATATAAAATATAAATTTTATCCTAAAATTTCAAAAGTAGAAAAATATTTTGAAAAGTATTTAAAATTAAAAAATGTATTAAACAAATTTATTCTTGCACCATAAAAAAAATTAACACATTTTACATTTCTGAAACAACTATTCTACAAATCAAATTTTTTAAAAAAATAATTCAATATGTGACTAAGATTTATTTTAAATTCCCGTTTGCCAGTTATAGAAGACAATAGTTTAGTTTTAAAAGAACTCTTACTTTGCGAAGACCGATACGCATAGTGAGAGGTCGACCTCGTTTGTAGCTGCTGTCAAAAACTATCACATCAGCAAACCTTGCAGCGTAGTGAATCTGTATGGACAAAAACAGAATACCTCTCACAAAATTGCAACTGGCAATATAATGTCATTCATTGCATTTTGTCTAATGTTTACTGCTACAATACTGGTTTTTAAATATCGAAGGATTCATCTCGACCTAAAATTCAACTTACTGAAGTATAGGACAACTTTCAACATATAAAAGCTATCAAAATTTCAGAAGAATTGAATACTTTATCAAGAAGTAATCTGTTTACATATCTTACAACCAGACCAAAGCTTATGTCCCAATGTCTACATATCATATTAATAATTTAAAAACATGCCATGATCCAAATAAATAGAACAGAATAACACATAACAAAGCAATGATAATAATAAAACTATAGTTTGTTAGGGTTCCCAATTTAAAACCAACCATTAATATTCAATAACTAATAAGGCCGAATATCATTCAAATGAAAAAGAATAAGAAGAGAATAATGTTAGAACAAAGAAAGGCCCACTACGGTTCTTTGTTAGAACAAATAAATGATGTTCTTAGCAGAGCAATGTGATAAGAAAAAGGAAGGCCCACTGTGGTTCTTTGTATTGTTTTAGTGTTTATTTTAATGTAAGTGATGGAATTCTCCCTATCTCGTTTTGGAAAGAAGAATGTGACATCCGTAAACCAATTTTGATAAGGATAGATTAAGTTTGTTTTCTTGCCAAAGAACTAACCAGAACACTACCTCCACAAGAGACAGGGGACCATGAGATCGAGTTGTTTCTAGGGTTGAAACCACTTGTTTGGGGGGATTATAGAATGTATCCTCAAATTGAATTAGAATGAAAAAAATGAAAAAAAATGAACATATCGTAGAATGAAAAAAATGAATTAGGCCCAAACATTTAAAAAAAAAAATTAGATTCAATCTCAAACTGAAATTGCACCTAATAAGAGCTCATGAACAGGTAATTGAAAAAAACAATTAAATTCAATCTGGGCACTACCAAACCTCATAAACAGATGTCAAACAGATGAGCATTGTCCAGTTTCATTTGAACATTTTGTCAAACACATGGTGAGCAAAAGGGTCAGAAGACAACAACAAATACAAGCATGGATGAAACAGGCCAAGTAAGAGCAGTATGTAGAGAAAAACAAACAAGCAAGAGCAGTAGTTAGAAAAAAAACAAACATACTTAATAAATTCACATAATCCATTGATTTTGCAATTTGCTTACAACCCAATCTCCTCATCAACACATTTAATAAATTTGATAAATTCAATCCATAACCCACAGTGAGCCATTCATTTTAGCTGGGCATATTCATAACGAATGAGTGCATTGAATCCAAAAAATCAAAATTTCATAAATCAGAGCATTAATAGAAAACACAAACAAAAAAAAAATGAAGCAAAATGGAAAAGAGTGAGAGCTAAAGGAGTGTTCTCAGACAGAAGCCGGTTTTGACCATGAAGAGCTCCATTGAACCTCCAATCATCGCCGACACGACTGATATCTTCAGGTACCAATCCCAAAACTTCAGGTATGGGTTTTTGTGAGTGAATGGTGAAAGAAAAAGAGACAGAAAAACAGTGCTGAGAGGGAGAGAGAGGATCTCAAGCGACGGCGACCAACAAGGAGG